TTCCTCCGTGGTGTCCTCCCATGTACTCCATTCTTGTTTAATGTTTTCCTTATTGTAGATGTGTCAACAAAAATGTTTGCATGTGCCAGAAATTTCTGTAGGTCTTTAGCTGACACTCTGGGATTCTTCTTTACCTCATGCAGCATTCTACACTGTGCTCTTGCAGTCATTTTTACAGGACGACCACGCCTAGGGAGAGTAGCAACAGTGCTAAACTTTCTCCATTTGTAGACAGTCTGTCTTACCGTGGACACATGAACATCAAGGCTTTTGGAGAGATACTTTTGTAACCCTTTCCAGCTTCATGCAAGTCAACAATTCTTGATCGTAGGTCTTCTGAGAGCTCTTTTCTGCGAGGCATGGTTCACATCAGACAGTGCTTCTTGAAACCAGTAAACCCAAAACAGGTGTGTGTTTTTTAAGGGCAGGACAGCTGTCAGCAACACATCCAATATCATCACACTGATTGGAGACAAGGTTGGCTCACTCCTGGCTCCAATTAGCTCTGGGAGAAGTCATTAAGCTAGGGCCTCACATACTTTTTCCTCCCTGCACTGTGAATGTTTACATGTTATGTGCAATTAAACCATGGCAACATCTAATGTTTGTGTAGTATTATGTTCAGCAGACTGTGTTCTTCTATTGTTGTGACTTAGATGACGTTCAGAGCACATTTTATGCCCAATTCATGCAAAACTCCACGTAATCCCAAGGGGTTCACATACTTTTTCTTGCAACTGTATAAGAAAAGGTAGGTACCGTCTCAAGGTAGTCGGCAAACAACAGAACAGCAAGGGGTGTCTACTCATCGAGAGCCAATAGCTAAGACATGTGAGTGAATATAGATGTGGGCTATATGCCCCCCTTTGGGGGGGGCACCTGGACTACTCCCTATGGAGAGGGGAGGGAAACCATGGTACTCAGATGGGAAGCGTACTGTGCTGTGATGGTGTTTGGGGGTGTCCTGGGAGGGAGGATATGGAGTGATTAGTGCTTAGGGAAAATTGTGAGGGAAAAGGGGATTTTGGGGGTGGTGATAAGATTTGTGCTGAGAGGAGGGATTCTGAAGAGAGATTTTGGGTAGTAAAAAAACCTGTGTTTTAGGGGGAGGTTTATGCTGGGAGGGGGGTTATGGAGGGAGGATTTGTGATCCGAGAAGAGATTTGGGGGGATGGACAAGATTTGTTTTGGGAATGGGAATTTTGAGGAGGGCGTAGATTTGTCGTGGGGAGGGGGATTCATTAGGAGGTCGGAGAGCATTTGTGCTGGGAGTGAGAATTTTAAGGGTGGGTGAAGGTTTCCACCACTCACAGGAGTGAGTGTGCAGATTAGTGCTGGATATTTTGGGGGAGGGGAAGGGAGATTTTATTTGAGTCGAGGAATGTACTGTTTGCTGATTCTTGCACTGTCTATTTTTTGCTTTTGACCTTTGCATCTGTGCGTTCCATATCTGACCCCTGCATTTATTTATGAAAAAGGGGAGGTGGCTACTCTTAAGAGCTGTAATTCCTAAACCCTTCCTCCAATTTGGATGTACATAGCCTCAAATTAAACCTGAGAGTGTGCACTTTCAGCCCATATCCATTATATAACTATAGCATGAATATGGTTTGGAAAATACCTGAAAAAATCTGTGCCTCTGTCCAAATATATATGGACCTAACTATACATCTAGATACAAATCTAACACCAAATCATATTGTGTGTCTATGCACATAAATATCTTGTTACCGCTACTCACTATTGTGTGTTCCCACACCCTAAGAATCATACAAACATTGTAAAAAATGTCCAGCGCAACAAAATATTACTCTATATCCACCTGGCAGTACCCCTTATATCAGTGGTCTCCAAACTGCGGCTGGGGGCGGCCCTTTGTTTGCCCTGATCCGGCCCTTGGGGCACTTTTTCTCCCACTGATACAAGACACTATTCCTCCCCCTGACACCAACAAGGGGGCATAATTCCTGCTACTGACATCAACAACAGAAACAAACTATGGGGCGCTATTCTTCCCGCTGGCACCAATGATGGGGCACTATTCTTCCCACTGGCACCAGCGATGGGGCGCTATTCTTCCCATTGGCACCAATGATGGGGCAATATTCTTCCCACTGGCACCAATGATGGGGCACTATTTCTCCAACTTACACCACGAACAGGACGCTATTCTTCCCCTAATGCCAAAGATGCATTGTTCACTCCAAATGATGCAGGCCAATTTCATCTCCCAATGGCCACAGTCTGGTCTCCCTAAAGTCTGAAAGCCAAAAAACTGGCCCTTTGTTTAGAAAGTTTGGAGACCCCTGCCTTATATCATATACAAGTGAATGTCATCTGAAAAAATAGTTATAACACATACCATAAACGTATCATCCAAAAAATGTACTGTATATAATCCCAAACATATGAATAAAGTGCAAACTCATGTTATAGTGAGAGATAAGTCTCTGTGAAACAACCAAAACTCCAGAAAAATGTATATTGAATATTACTGTGACTCCATCATAAATTTGTGAGAATATATATTGCTCCACACACAAGTGCAAATCGCTCCACCGCTGTGCATCATCATCTGTCTCCACTGACTCCAAAGCATAACCCACCATATGGTGAAAGTCAAAATGCTCCCCAGGATACTGGGTATTAGAAAGTATTGCAATCCTCCCAGGATTTACATGAAAAATTCTCCAATCAACAGGATATAACAAGAATAGGAGATCCCATAGTGTAATATGTAACTGATTCAGCTTTTAATCATAAAATATTCCCTATGAGGAAGTTGCTGTGCGGAATGATGAAACGTGTCAGGGATGGTACTTGTGTGACGTCAGCACGCCCAGAAGGTTGTGATTTTCCATTTTACCATATCTCTCCTATCGGTGTCCACATCTAAAGAAACAGTTTGGCATTTGAAAATGAATGGGATTCAGTGCACTGGATTGTAGAGTGCCCTCTCTTTGTGAGTAATAGTTTAATCTTCTATTAATAAAAGCTGAAGCAGTTACATACTACACTCAGCGGCCACTTTATTAGGTACACCTGTTCAATTGCTTGGCAACATAAATTGCTAATCAGCTAATTACATGGCAGCAGCTCAATGCATTTAGACAGGTAGACATGGTGAAGACGACGACTGGCTGAAGTTCAAACCAAGCATCAGAATGGGGAAGAATGGGATTCAAGTGATTTGGAGCACCTGTCACTGTCTATTGCTGTTACAAGGGATCAAAAAAAGAAAAAAAATTTAAGCGGTTAAAACGATTTAAAACATTTTTAAAGCACCCCTGTCCCCAAGTGCAAAGGCGAACACATGTGTCCATCCACACGTGATGCATCAAAGAGAATGTCAGCTCCTGGGCAATAATTCTAGCACTAGACTTCCTCTGTTAATCTAAGGTGGTAACCTGTAAAGACTTTCAAAGTGTCCATTATGGATAGTAACATTTACATTGTATGTTGCTGCTACTCGGCCGTGCGCAGTTTTAAAACGTGACATGTTTGGTATCTATTTACTCCGAGTAACATAATCTTTTACGTTTTACCAAAAATTGCATTTAGTATTGTTTTTTTGCATTAAAATTCAAAAAAGTATATTTTTTCCCAAAAAATTGTATTTAAAAAACTGCTGCGCACATACACTTTACGTGTTACATAAAAAATGCAAAACCCATCAATTTATTCTCTAGGGCCTTTGCTTTAAAATATATATATAATGTTTGGGGGATATAAGAAATGTTTAAGTCGGCATAAAGCCCCTTTTGTTTTTAAAAGCCCCAGACATTCCTAAAAGCACCTTTGCCTAATAAAAATCATCAACCCTTTGTATTTTCCATCCTGACAATTTTATTTTTTTTATCATCAGGACAAGCACGTTGTCATGACAGACAAGTAGATTCGAACCCTGATTTAGTCCTTGAAGTAGTTTTTAAAAAAATGTCCAAACCCCTGTGGTGTAATGGTGTGGGGGACATTTTTGTGGCACTGGCAAGCCTAATAAAGTTGCCGGTGAGTGTATGAGATCTCCTATTCTTTTTATATCCCATAGAGCAGTGATGGCGAACCTTTTTGAGCCCGAGTGCCCAAACTGCAACCCAAAACCAACTTATTTCTTTCAAAGTGCCAACACTGCAATGAAACCTGAATATCGAGCTTTTGGTTTAGAAAAAACAACTCGTACAGTAGTGCAAACTAATTAACAGTACAGGGATGACCAGAGACTGCGGACACAGTACAGGGATGACCAGAGACTGCGGACACAGTACAGGAGATGACCAGAGACTGCGGACAGTACAGGGATGACCAGAGACTGCGGACAGTACAGGGATGACCAGAGACTGCGGACACAGTACAGGGATGACCAGAGACTGCGGACAGTACAGGGATGACCAGAGACTGCGGACAGTACAGGGATGACCAGAGACTGCAGACAGCACAGGGATGACCAGAGACTGCGGACAGTACAGGGATGACCAGAGACTGCGGACACAGTACAGGGATGACCAGAGACTGCGGACACAGTACAGGAGATGACCAGAGACTGCGGACAGTACAGGGATGACCAGAGACTGCGGACACAGTACAGGAGATGACCAGAGACTGCGGACACAGTACAGGAGATGACCAGAGACTGCGGACACAGTACAGGGATGACCAGAGACTGCGGACACAGTACAGGGATGACCAGAGACTGCGGACAGTACAGGGATGACCAGAGACTGCGGACAGTACAGGAGATGACCAGAGACTGCGGACACAGTACAGGAGATGACCAGAGACTGCGGACACAGTACAGGAGATGACCAGAGACTGCGAACAGTACAGGAGATGACCAGAGACTGCGGACAGTACAGGGATGACCAGAGACTGCGGACACAGTACAGGGATGACCAGAGACTGCAGACACAGTACAGGGATGACCAGAGACTGCGGACAGTACAGGGATGACCAGAGACTGCGGACACAGTACAGGGATGACCAGAGACTGCGGACACAGTACAGGAGATGACCAGAGACTGCGGACAGTACAGGGATGACCAGAGACTGCGGACACAGTACAGGAGATGACCAGAGACTGCGGACACAGTACAGGGATGACCAGAGACTGCGGACACAGTACAGGGATGACCAGAGACTGCGGACAGTACAGGGATGACCAGAGACTGCGGACAGTACAGGGATGACCAGAGACTGCGGACAGTACAGGAGATGACCAGAGACTGCAGACACAGTACAGGAGATGACCAGAGACTGCGGACACAGTACAGGAGATGACCAGAGACTGCGGACACAGTACAGGAGATGACCAGAGACTGTGAACAGTACAGGAGATGACCAGAGACTGCGGACACAGTACAGGGATGACCAGAGACTGCGGACACAGTACAGGGATGACCAGAGACTGCAGACACAGTACAGGGATGACCAGAGACTGCGGACAGCACAGGGATGACCAGAGACTGCGGACAGCACAGGGATGACCAGAGACTGCGGACAGCACAGGGATGACCAGAGACTGCGGACAGCACAGGGATGACCAGAGACTGCGGACAGCACAGGGATGACCAGAGACTGCGGACAGCACAGGGATGACCAGAGACTGCGGGACAGTACAGGGATGACTGCTGACCTTTGGGGAGGGAGGGGGAGCGGGTACCTGAATTTGACAGGTACCCGCTCTTACTTCCGCAGAGTTTTTTTTTTTATCTTACCTGTTCCTTTATCCAGCCGCGCGCTGTCTTCCCGGCTTCTGTAGTGTGGGCGCTCGTCGGACAGCCGGATGCCCAGTGCGCATGCGCGAGAAGCGCTGCGCTTTGTGATTGGTCCGGCGGCTTCTGGGATCTGTCATGTGTCCCAGGTACCGCCTTACCATTCACAAAGAGCACTGCTTCTTGTGCATGCGCACTTGGGACCCGGCTGTCACGCACACTACAGCCGGGAAGACAGCGCGCCGCTGGATTCTCCTGGCGTGCCCACAGATAAGGCTCGGCGTGTCGGCTGTGGCACGCGTGCCACGGGTTCGCCATCACTGCCATAGAGTGAAGAAGTTTACATGTGATTGGAAATAGTGAATCCAGGAAGGATTGCAATACTTTCTAATAGCCAGAATCCTGGGAAGGTGCATTTTTACTTTCACCGTATGGTGGGATATGCTTTGGTGGTAAGAGTCAGTGGAGATAGGTGATGGTGCACAACGGTGGAAGATTTGCACATGTGTGTGGAGTAATATACGCTGCTCAAAAAAAATGAACACTTTGAAAACACATCAGATCTCAATGGGGAAAAATCTCATGCTGGATATCTATACTGATATGGACTGGGCAGGGGCGGACTGACCATTCGAGCACTCGGGCACTGCCCAAGGGCCCGGGGTCAGTAACGGGTCCCATGAGATGCTCCTGGTACCTTTCATTGGCATTTTCATAGGCTTTTTTGGGTGTGGGCGAGGACACAGGGGCCCCATGATCCACTATTGCCCGGGGGCCCCATGAGTTGTCAGTCCGCCCCTGGGACTGGGTAATGTGTTATGAACGTAAGGATGCCCCATCGCTTGAATTCAGTCCTCTGTAGGTTGATCGTTTTCATTTCCATCAAAGACACCCCGAAAATCAAAGTGAAAAAATTATGCAGCAGGCTAATCCATTTTGCTGAAATTTCATTGCAGCAACTCAAAATGGTTCTCAGTAGTTAGTATGGCCCCCACGTGCTTGTATGCATGCCTGACAACATCGGGGCATGCTCCTAATGAGACCATGGATGGTGTCCTGGGGTATTTCCTCCCAGATCTGGACCAGGGCATCCCTGAGCTCCTGGACAGTTTGAGTTGCAACCTGGCGACGTCGGATGGACCGAAACATGATATCCCAGAGGATTTAGGTCAGGCGAGTGTGGGGGCCATTCAATGGTATCAATTCCTTTATCCTCCAAGAACTGCCTGCATACTCTCATCACATGAGGCTGGGCATTGTCGTGCACCAGGAGGAACCCAGGACCCACTGCACCAGTCTAAATGGATTTCATCCCGATACCTAATGGCAGTCAGGGTGCCATTGTCTAGCCTGTAGATGTCTGTGCATCCCTCCATGGATATGCCTCCCCAGACCATCACTGATCCACCACCAAAACAGTCATGCTGAACCATGTTACAGGCATTATAACCTTCTCCATAGCTTCTCCAGACCCTTTTACGTCTGTCACATGTGCTCAGGGTGAACCTGCTCTCATCTGTGAAAAGCACAGGGCGCCAGAGGGGGACCTGCCAATTCTGGTGTTCAATGGCAAATGTCAATCAAGCTCTCTGGGGCTGGGCAGTGAGCACAGGGCCCACTAGAGGGCGCTGGGCCATCAGGCCACCCTCCCGAAGTCTATTTCTGATTGTTTGGTCAGAGACATTCACACCAGTGGTCTGCTGGAGGTCATTTTGTAGGGCTCTGGCAGTGCTCATCCTGTTCCTCCTTGCACAAAGGAGCAGATACCGGTCCTGCTGATGAATTAGGAACCTTCTACAGCCCTGTCCAGCTCACCCAGAGTAACTGCCTGTCTCCTGGAATCTCCTCCATGCTCTTGAGACTGTGCTGGGAGTCACAGCAAGCCTTCATGCAATGACATGCATTGATGTGCCATCCTGGAGGAGTTGGACTGCCTGTGCAACCTCTGTAGGATCCTGGTATCGCCTCATGCTACCAGTAATGACTCTAGCCAAATGCAAAACTAGTGAAAACAGAAAAGATCAGAGGGGAAAAAATGTCAGTAAAGCCATTCCTGTTTTGGGGGGTTGTCTCATTGTTGCTCATCTAGTGCACCTGTTGTTATTTCATTAACACCAAAGCAGCTGAAACTGATTAACAACCCCCCTGCTACTTAACTGACCAGATCAATATCCCAGGAGTTTCATTGACTTGATGCTAGACTCTGATTAAAAAGTGTTCCCTCTTTAATCAGTCTAGTTTTCAGGACTTTTGGTTGTTTCACAGAGACTTATCACTCATTATAACATGGGTTTACACTTTATTCATATGTTTGGTATTCTATACAGTACATTTTGTGGATGACATGACTATGGTATGTTATAACTAACTTTTCAGATGACATTCACTTGTATATGATATAAGGGGTACTGCCAGGTGATTATAGAGTAGTTTTTTTGTTGTGCTGCGCTTTTTTATATTGTTTGTATGATGTGGAAAAATGTGTTTATAAAAAACGCATAATTTCCCTTGTTTGCAGCTATAGCATTTCATATAAAAATTTCAACGCTGCAATATGCAGAGCAATAAAAAGAGAATCTCGCATGAATGACAGCTCACGGTGATGATGTGCATAGACACATACTCCATGACAAACATAAATAAACAATCAAGCCAGTTTAGCTGAAGTCTGTTAGCATGATTATTTCATGAGTATCTAAAGCTTGCCAAGGGAAGGAAAGGCAACACAGACGAAAGTTGGAAAGAAAGGGAAATGGAAAAACAAATTGAAAATGATAAGGGAGGAATGGAGAAATGTCGCAACAATACTTGTTCTGAGAACAGCTTGGATGCCTCTGCTGACCTGGCAATGTTGGTTTCCTAACTCTCGGGCTTCAAAGCGTTTTAAGTGACTAACCTGGAGACATGCATGCAGCCAGTGATGTCAAAGCAGTTCAGGACTCCTCATCTGAATACCTGCTCCAGTTCATTCACTCAGAAATGATTGAAGCCACTGGATGATAATGACAGCTGGGTAAGTAACCTTTGCAAATAAAATGGACAACACTGGCAGCCTGCTTATTTCCCTAGTACAGGTTTCCTTCAAGTGGAGGGGGGGGGGGGGGGGTTGCACTGGTGTTCCTGGAATTTAGTAGTTTAAAAATCATCCAGAATGTTTTTTTTTTGATCATTGATAATCATGTCCTCAACACAGATAATTAGCTCTGCACACTAACCCTTTCACAAATGGTAGTGTTCTTGAGGACCTTTCACTATGAATAATAGTCCAGGCTGTAAGAAAATGCCTAGAGATGCTTTTGTTTGCCATAGGGATGGATGATGGTATGTCAGAGAACAATGTGAGGGTAATAGGATCATTACCTTTTAGCACTGTAAAACAAGCCATCACAAACCTTACAGAAACAGAGGAGCGATGACAGAAAACGACCAAATGGTCCATTAAGTCTGCCCAGACTTTTAATATTTTTTTTCTTTTTAAGCTGCAGGAACTATGGAGCAATTTATCCTCAAAATGTGCAGTGGAAGCTTCCTAATTTGTAGTCACAGGTTTTTTTTTTTCTCTAGGTCAGCCCCCCCCCCCAGTAGTGACTTGGCAGCCTGCCAGCCTTCTAGTCTCTGAGGCCCCGTTCACATCTGGCATTTTGAGATCTCAGGCAGAATCACTGCGAATCTGCCTGCAATCTCAAATCACACTGCAATAGTGGCAAAACGCACCACACGTGTTTGGGTGCCCTTGAAAAGAATGGCACCCGAATACGCATGGTCTGTTTTGCCACTATTGCAGTGTGATTTGAGATCACAGGAATCCTTCCTGAGATTCCAAAATTCTAGATGTGAACGGGGCTCAAGGGCTCATGCACATTAGTGGTTGGAGGGACAGCCTGCTGTTGAACCATGCCTTTACCGCTCCCCAACTGCTACTACCTTTAGCTGCAGAGGCAGTGGCCAGGGGTGTACACATGACGTGGCCACCATGCTTTGCTACACGACTGCTGCAGGATTTTTTACATCTTTTGCTTTTGGCTGGCGTAGTGTTCAGTACACACTAATGCAAGAGCTTAAGGGGTTAAAGCAGGCGGCGAGGAGATGATACAATGCTCCCCCACTGCCTTTCAAATGCTGTCTGGTGAGGAATCTAAAAGCAGATTGGTCTTTACCAGGACTGTACTTATGTGCACCACTATAAAGTGTGGGCCCCAAAACTATCCTAGTGAAGAACTAGCACTAATGACTGCACACTTAAATAGCTGCTTTACAGGGACTGTGTCTATTGCCCAGTTTAAGAGGTACTTCATTAGGGAGCCTTATATTACACCAAAGGTATTTGCATATATAGTGCACTCTAAAGTGCTTATACCATACTGTTTACAGAGGAATTATCACAGTATCGATTCTCATTGCTGTTACTGATTACCAAATGCTACTGCTCATTGTTGATCATGTGGGTTTCTAAGTTTACTTTAATCTAGTGAGATGGAGCTCTAATCTAAGTCGCTAAAACATAGTAATTGCATTGTCTAGTGAGTGAGAACTAATTCTCTATTTGCAAATTTATGCATAGATTTTCATTTATATAAACCGGTAACAGTCTACTGAGTTCCATTGCCACGAACCAGTCTGGGGTTTGTTTTCTGATACTGAAACATAGTTGTATGCAGGATATTTATATTTGTGCTCCCAGTAGTATTGCAGTAACCGTTTGCCACAACTCTGTGAACAACCTAAGCCTTCTGACCCACTTGGTTAAGCAAAGAGCAGACAACCCCAATCTACCATACAGCTCCTGCATGGGTAGTGCTACACACACAGTTTCATATATATATATATATATATATATATATATATATATATATATATATATATATATATATATCTTGTGACATGATGAAAGGCAAGGTTATT